TAGAATAGAATAGAATAGAATAGAATAGAATAGAATAGAATAGAATAGAATAGAATAGAATAGAATAGAAGGACAGGACAGAATCGATCCCTGCCTCTCAATTTTGGCAACTTTAAGATGCGTGGACTTCCCAGAATTCCCCAGCCAGCACAGAGTACATAACCTGTAGAAGATCCCCCACCTCTCTTAATTTTGTGTGTGTGTGTGTGTGTGTTGCTTTCCATTCCTTGCTCGGATGGGGGAAGCAGGAGCTTTATTCTGCTTCCTAGATCTTTTCAACGGTGGAAACACACAACAGCTTGCGGCCGGCAGCTTAGCCCCATAAATCTGGATTTTGCTCGGTTCCAGCGATAGACTGCAGAAACTCAGAACCGGGTGACAGAAGCGGAGAGACAGGAGGGGAGAAAAAAAAAATCTGCTACTACGGAGCCCATCGTGCACCGCTCTTGCCACCCGAAGCCGGCAGGAGGAAAGCAGACCCCCCAAAATCATGGTAGGTCCACCTCTCCCCTCACCCTCAATGGTTGGATGGGAGGACGAAGTCCTAGAAGGAGGAAGAGAAGGAAAGAATTCAGGAATTGGGCAACAGGGTTGCTAAGGACCGATCTCACGCATACACACCTGCACACACAACACACGCACACCCAAGTGGTCAACCATCCGTCTTTGGGGACCATCCTTCACCCAGAGGTTCTCTGGGTGATGTAGGAGGAAGTGGGGGGCGAGGGGGGCTTTGCCAGAAGAACGGAGAAGAAGGAATTTTTGATTTCACGATTTCATTGGGGTCACTGCCGGAATCCTGACCTCCTGCTTGAGCAAGGGAGGGGGCGGGGTTGGACTAGAAGACCTCCGAGGCCCCTTCCGACTCTGCCGTTTTACTGCTCCCTCCTTCTGACTGACTTGGCTCCCGCGCTAAAGTGTGGCGCCCCTTTGAACGGTGAGTCACGAAATATGACATTTATACGAGCCACAATTCCCCTCCCACCCTCCCTGCCCCGCCACCGAGGGACTGACGCGTTTGATGGATGGTTTTAGAGGTGAAGTTTACGTCCCGTGTGTTTTTTCCCATAAAAATCCTTACGAACGTGTGTTATTTATAAGCGCCTTCTGCCACCCTGGGAGCAATATTTCCTCGTGACGTTTTGAATCGCTCTGGGAATCCATCAATATGGATAAGGCAGGTGTGGCCTTATCTGGAAGGCAGGTGATTCCCAGATAGGTATGTGGGAAAGCTCACGAGGGATGGGGCGGAGAGATGCTGTCTAGGGCAGGGGTCCTAACAAGCCCCCCCCCCAGACCGCTTGCAGGAACCATCCCTTCTCCCCCCCATCAGGCCACCAAGCCACAAAATCTGGAGACCATTGGTCTAGTCCAGTGGTTGCCAACCAGTGGGCTGGAGACCACTGGTGGTCCACGAGAAAATTTTGGTGGTCCACAGAGAAATGTCCCCCCCAAAAAAACAATTAATCCAGGCTGCCTGGGAACACAAGGCTTGCGAACACCACAAGGTAGTGTGGGGAGGGGGGAAAGGGCGGAGGGGGGGAACTTGCCCCACGCGCCTCACCTGGCCACCGGGCTGTTTCTTTCCGCTTCTTTCTTCTTCTGCGTTTGGCTGCACGCATGGAAAGCAGCGAAATTCGTTCTTTCTCTCCCCCAAACTCCGCCAGAAATGAGTCTTTGGGGACCCTGCAAGGCCTCCTGCTCCAAGCGGCTGTGCCAGCAAAGACTCATTTCTGGCGGAGTTTGGGGGAGAAAAAGAAAGATTTCTGCTGCTACTGCTGTTTTCCTTGCATGAAGCCAAAAGTCTCTCTTTCTCTCTCTCCCCCTGAGAACAGAGCTGGAAACAGTATCCTCTCCCTTTCCTCCCTCCATTCTTCTCTCTCTCTCCTTCCTTCCTTCCTTCCTTCCTTTCTTCCTTCCTTCCTTCCTTCCTTCCTTCCTTCCTTCCTTCCTTCCTCCCACTCCCTCCCTTCTTTTCCTCTTCTCCCTCCCTTCTTTTCTCTCCTTCTTGCCTTCTCCTTCCCTGTTCTCCTTCCTTCCTTCTTTCCTTCCTTCTTTTATTTTTTACTTTATTTATTTGTTTGATTTGTCAATTGCTTACAAGATAATAGGTGTAAGTATAAACCGGAAATAGGCATGAAACAAATGGGAACAACAGAACAGGGACAGGAGGCACGATGGTGCGCTTATGCACGCCCCTTTATATTGCTATAACACTCCTCTTCTTAACATGTTTAATTCTATTAACGTATTTTCTACATTTCACGCATCTATTAGCTGTTTCTAGCTGTGCTGTTTTTTCTCTGGCCGTCGATAAAATAGTTCCCGTATCTTATAATACGCCGTTTGTTCCTTCTCTTTCATGGCGCGTGTTAATCTATTCGTTTCTGCACATCAGACGGCCATCAGGCTCAACTTCTTCCAGTCCTCCACCATGGAAGGGAAAGTAGCCCATGTGGCACTCCTCATCTTCTTCCTACTCTTTGTAGTCATGACCAGCTGCTTCCTGTGGCAATATAGTCTGCCCAAAGTGGAGTCCGGTAAGTACAAAATCCAATCCATCTCACCGGTTTCGCTGGCGGCTTCACGGTGAACCTCGGCTGCTGCACGTTCCTTGGGAGATGGGACATGTAGTACATTCGACCAGGGGTGGGATTCAACCGGTGTTACTACTGGTTCGGTGACTATGTTTTGCGTGTGCATGCAAGCCCCCTCTCTAACAAACTCACTGATTAATTTTAATCTCATTTGGCTTTTTTAAATCTCTGATTACCAGATCTGGCTTGGAGGGAAAAAAAAAATCTGGAACAAAGCTTTCTGCATTTCTTTGCTGCATGAAACCAGCAGATTTTAGATTCATAGGGTGCCTGGAAGGGACCTCGGAGGTCTTCTAGTCCAACCCCCCAGCTCCAGCAGGAAGACCTAGACCAGAGCTCTCCAAACTTGGCAACTTTAAGACTTGCGGACAAAGTTGCCAAGTTTGCCAAATTAAATCCTTTCAGACTGAGGAAATCCAGACCTCTTTAAAGTTGTGTTGGACTTTACCAACACTACTTTAACCGTTTTGTGATAGAAGTGAACTTCAAGCCAACTGATGATCCGGCTTGGTTCTGCGAGTCTTGTTTTCATATGTCTGTCCAACCTACCCGAACCATCTCAGGTGGGACGACTTCATGAGGCCCATAATCCAGTGAACATATGGATTTTCTGTGAAGTGCTTCAAGTCGTATGCCTGTCCATGGCCTTTGTCCTTCCGGGCCCTTCCGTGAGAACCATCAACCGATGGAACAAGAAGTTGCCTTCGGAAGTTGTGGGGGGGTTGGACTAGATGACCTACAAGGTCCCTTCCAACTCTTTTAATCTGTAATCTGATAGGTTCAATCAATACAGAGGCCAAACCAGCAGCTGTGGAGATGTGTCCCCGTTACCCAGAACCTGTCCAGCTGGATCACCCCATTCCAATCCTAAAAGATGCTCTGGAAAAGGTAAAATTATGACCAAACAGGTGTGGTTATTTTTGCAGATTGTTCCTCTCGGATGTTTTCTGATGTCTCGTCTCTACTCTACTCTACTCTACTCTACTCTACTCTACTCTACTCTACTCTACTCTACTCTACCCTACCCTACCCTACCCTACCCTACCCTACCCTATCCTATCCTATCCTATCCTATCCTATCCTATTCTATTAACCATGGATGATTGGGCTCACCCCAACCAGCTTTTCAGAAACAATGATCCGCAAGCCACCATTTACACTTTAACACTAAGCTGAAACAGCATTGTGGTTTAAGGGGATATGTAAATATTAGCTCGTTCTAGCCATAAGCGGAGGGGGAAAATTTTATTCCTTGCTTTCTGGTTTCCCAAATTCTCACGAGGTGGACCTTCTCCTCCGGCACAAAATCCGCAACCCCGGCCTTCCAGCTTTGTCGGCCATTGTCATCTACAACGACACCGTCTTGTGGACCGGCAACTTTGGGAAACGCAACATCTCCAGCGACTTCTCAGGCCTCCCCAATGAATATTCCATTTACAGGTGATTTGGGGGTTTCCTCAGCTAAAGGATGTGTGGGCCAAGCATCAGGTGCCCGAGTTTGTGTGTGTGTGTGTGTGTGTGTGTGTGTGTGTGTGTGTGTGTGGTTGGGTTTTTTTGCACGTCACGAATTCCCGTTGTTATCTAGGGATTCGGACACACAACTTTGGGTGAGGACTTTAGAGAACAGATAATAGATCATCAGAGTTGGAAGGGACCGTGTAGGTCATCTAGTCCAACCCCCCTTCCCAAGCAGGAGACCCTACACCATTTCTGACAGATGGGAATCCAATTTTTTTTTTTTTTAAAGTCTCAAGTGACGAGAATGCCCCTTCCAAGATGAAGAATGGTTGCAGGAACCAGGCCTGGCTAGTCTAGAGAAGAGAAGGACCAGGGGAGACAGCGGAACAGCCTCCCAATATTTGAGGGGCTGCCCCAGAGAGGAGGAAGGGGGTCAGGCTATTCTCCAAGGCACTGGAAGGCCAGACAAGGAATAATGGATGGAAACTGACCAAGGAGAGATTCAACCTGGAAATGAGGAGAGATTTTCTGAGAACAATCAACTGATGGAACAGAAGTTGCCTTCAGAAGTTGTGGGAGCTTTCAAGAAGAGACTGGACTGCCATCTGTCAGAAATAGTGTAGGGTCTCCTGCTTGGGCAGGGGGTTGGACTAGATGACCTACAAGATCCTTTCCAACTCTGTCCATCTGTAATTATCTAACCCAGATGTCCTTCTCTGCTGCCCTAGAGCCCCTTAATTCGAAAACACGGTTGTAAATTTGAGAAAAGGAGAAGCGAGGATTGCAAACGCAACGACACAAGTGTCCTCCTGGGTTTGGGATGTTTTTTTCCCCCTGAAACGGCAAATTCATGGCGACCTAGATCTCGCCTCTCACGCTCTTCGTTGTGATTGTGTGATTTTTTTTTTGTACTGACATGTTAGGATCGGAAGCATCTCCAAGTTGTTCCCAACCCTCATGCTGCACAAGCTTTGGGAGGAAGGGAAGATAACGTCCCTCGACGATTCCTTGGAGTGCTACGCCCCAAATTTCTCCATCAAAAACCCCTTGGGGCAGCTCAAGGAATCCAGACTGCCCTCTTCAAGGGACGGGAGGAGTTATTTCGAAGACAAACCGCTACCCCGCAGGCCTTCTTCGGTCACCCTGAGAAGGATGGCCAGCCAGCTGTCAGGTAGGAAAAACTGACATAAAAAGAGGTTGAGGCTCTAGAAAGAGGGCCGAGAAGCACAATAAAGGTGATTAAAGGACTGGAGGCTAAAACGTACGAAGAAAAGTTGCAGGAATTTGGTATTTCTAATTAAAAGAAGGACTAGAAGGGGACATCATAGATGGGTGTGGCCATCTCAACATCGCTTCTTTGCCCTAATTACCTAAAAAAAAAAGATAATATATACCAAAAAGTTGTTTTATTATTTCATGCCTTTAATACTTAAATAAAAGACGGGGGTGAAACCAGGTTTACTAAGCAGTGACCGTGAGAGGGATCTTAGTGGAGTTTCTGATGAGTTATGTGAGTCTTATTATTTGGGGATTAACCCCCCTCGGAGGCTACGTGATCTGATTTTCCCGATTTTCCCTTGCAAGCGCCGCGTGGATTGCTTATCTAGCTTGCCACACTGTTACCAGGTGTGAAATGCTCTTGACTGAACTCCCAGAAATTCAGTTAAGCCTATCGAGAGCTTTCCCTGGCGGCTTGTCTTTCTGAGGGTTATTGGGGAGGGTCTCTGAACCCCACAGAGTCTTAGCTAGCCCGCCCCGCCCGAGCCCCCAGCAGGCCATTCCTGGCAATTGGACGTGGAAAGTTAGCTCCCACCTGAAGGAAATATCTCCCACCCAGCCTTCCCCCCAAACCCAGCCTGCTCCTTTTTCTTGACGTCCCATGAACAAGGTGACAAACACACACACCCCAATGTTCATCTGGTTTCCTGGTTCTTCAGGGCTTCCCCGGCGCTTGAGGTCCACCAGCCTCGTGTGGAAAGGAAGCACCCAAGAAGTGTTAGCTCTTCTCCGAGATGACATCTTGGTGGCCGATCCAGGCACTCGGTGAGAGGAAGACCCAAGTTTTGCCTGGTTCACTCAGGTTGTCTTAACTCGGGGTTGCGGGGTTTCGAACCTGCGCCCAGGTTTCTCCTCGGGCGCAGCGCGCAGCACATAGAATTCTAGGGGTGGAAGGGACCTCGGAGGTCTTCTAGTCCAACCCCCCCCGCCCCCCCTCCTTGCTGAAGAAGGTGAGCTTATTACACCGTTCACCCAGTCACCCAGCTGGCTTTCATGCCTACATTGGAACTAGAATTCACCATCCCCTAGTGATTCACCCAAAGGCACCCAACTGGCTTTCTTGTCTAAGGTGGGACTAGAACTCACCATCACATAGTAACCCTCTCTGCTTTTCTTCCGCAGGTGCCATTATAGTAACCTGGCCTTCTCGCTCTTGGCTCATGTATTAGCTGAGCAGGTGGCCAAGACCGAGTACCAGGACTGGGTCTCTGAGAACATCCTTGACCGCCTGGGCATGGAGGACACGGGCTTCGATATCACGCCCAACGTCCACTCCAGGATGACCGTCGGAGTCTACGGCAGTGGAGAAGTGGCTCCTCTCTACGACCTGGGCTGGTATAGACCTTCCGGCCAGATGTTCTCCACAGCGGCCGATCTGGCCAAGTTGGCCATGGTCTTCTTGGGCTCCTATCACCGGCATCTTCTTGAGCCCGAGACCCTGAAGGTCATGTCGACGCCGCTCTTGACGTGCTCCAGGGACTACTTTGCCAACAAGACGGGCACCCCTTGGGAGATTAACGAGCAGATGGGTTACGACCTCCTCCGGAAGGATGGAGACATCGATGGCTTCTCGGCTACCTTCTCCCTGGTCCCCAAACTCTGCCTGAGCTTCATCGTCTTGATGGCCGGTCCTCGCCCCCAAGGAGGAGACCTCGTAACCCAGGTCTACGAGTACCTCATCCCCTCCCTGGAATCTGCTTTTCGGGAAGTCGAGAAGAAGCTCAACCCTCCACCGAGCCCTGTTCCCTATGTGGGCTACTACACTTTCTCCAACTTGACCTTCTACGAGATCAAGGTCGGGTCCAGAGGAGAGCTGTTGATGCAGCAGTTCGGGCCTCATATCAAGAAGGTCATCCCTGAAGAATACCGGACCATTAAGCTCCATCACCTTCAAGACCGCATCTTCCAGGTAGTCTTCGAGAAGGAATTTCCATGCGTCCTGAAGGTAGGGCCCGCCTCGATTTCCCTCGAGGCCCAGGACGGGCAACTTTTCAACTTCTACCCGTTTGACCCCAAGGGGCTCTCTCCTGGCTTCGATGTCCCAGGGTTGAATACCTACAACATCCTCCGTCTTCAAAGGAGACCTGTCTTCTCCTAAATGTCAGCCAGGATTCCGGCGGCGATCCCCATATCAAAGAACAAAAGGATAGTTACTGTCTTTCCAGGGTATATTTCATATTCATTTTCTTACTCTGTCTAACTCAGTCGTTTATCGGTTCTGGTATATTATACTGTACTTACATATTTCAATGTTAATGATAATATAATAATGGTTACATATGATATAAAATACTGACTAGAATGATTACAAACATTAATAAGTAAGATATGTATGATAATGTTACTATGCGCACAATGATACATGTACCCAACTGACACACCGTTGAACAGAAAGAAGGGTTTTATCTGTTTGTTTTTGTCTTTGTTATCAAAAAAAAACTTTATATATTAAAAAAGAACAAAAGAATAAAATAAAAGAATCATGAAATGAAATGAAATGAAAGAATCATGAAATGAAATGAAATAATGAAATGTAATGAAATAATAAAATAAAATAAAAAATGAAATGAGATAAAATAAAATAAAAAAATAAAAATAAAATAAAATAAAAATGATGATTACAGGTACACAGATCCCAAGAGAACGAGACAGAATGAGAGAGAGAGGAAGAAAGAAAGAGAAAGAACGAGGGAGAGAGAGAAGTTTGTAGCTGTTAGGCCAATGTCTCTTAAGAATCTTTAAGAATTTTAAACTTAAAACTTAAGAACTTTAAGATGGGTGGACTTCAACTCCCAGAATTCCCCGACCAGCACAACATACCTGGCTGGGGAATTCTGGGAGTTGAAGTCCACCCATCTTAAAGTTGCCTAGGGTATATTAGGCCCCTAGGGAACTATCATGCAAGCATCATGCTTAATTTATACGGCGAGTATCATGAATAAATAAATAAATCCAGGTTGGGGGAAAAAAATCCAGGACAGATGTCCCCCCGTCCCTCCCCCCCAATGGCTTGATTTGTAACCGCTTCATGCGCTCTTCCCAAGAATGAGTCCCCTTTGCGGGAAACCAACCCACCCTTTGCAGGAGATTACGCAAACGAGTGATGCGTTACCGTTTAAGCCAGGAATCACGAATAAAAATAAAAATCGATTCCCTTTTGCTGGAATTCTAACTGGTTGCAGGAACCTTCCGGATCTTTTCGAAATCCCAGACATTCCCTGGGGAAGTGGGGAAGGTCAGATAATTGCTTGATTGCAATGTGCAACAACAGTCGTGTTGTTCACAGCTCTGTGTGTGTGTGTGTGTGTGTGTGTGTGTGTGTATGTATGGGTGTGTGTATATATATACAGTGTATGTATGTATATATGTATGTATGTATGTATGTATGGTATTCAGCTTAAGAAAACAAATTAACAAATTTTCAACTTAAGAAAACAAATATATATATGTATATGTATATATGTGTGCGTGTGTATGTATGCGTATATATATATATATGTGTGTGTGTGTATGTGTGTGTATCTATTTATATCTCTCTGTCTATCTATCTATCTATCAATCCTATCTATCTATCTATCTATCTATCTATCTATCTATCTATCTACCCGTAGCGACTCGAGGCGGCTTACAGGAGGTAAAACTATATTTAAAATTTAAGAACAAAACAATAAAAACTAACGAAAAGAATCAAATAAATTTATTAAAGTACAATAGAACAAAATCCGGGGGAAAAATAAATGAAAAAAATCATCCCCAACTCTCTCCACACACCCCGACAACAGTAGATATTACACACACACACACACACACACACACACACACACACACACCCCTGAGCTGCCCAACTGGCAAGGAATGGCCTGTTTCCATGGAAACCGAGGCTGGCAGGGGGTTGGCAAAGCTTCTGCCTTGTTTGCAAACAAGGGGAAGATTCGGGTGGGCTTAATAAGCCGCCCCGTGGGAGAATCCAAGCCAGTGCATTTTATTTTTGGGGTACATCAGGAAGGATGTTTGCATCTCCCTTCCTCCGATCAACCCAGCCCGCCTCTCCTTCCTTCTCTCTTTCCTCCTGCCTCAGTTTCTCTTTCGATGGCCGGTTAGAGAAGGGCCACCCGGCTGCCAAACCCACCACACACACACACACACACACACACACACACACACACACACACACCGTAATAATTTCCTCATTAAATCTGCCAGGCCTTCGATTATTATCCTTTTCGATCCCTAAGAAATCCGGCTAGATTCCTTGCTCTGGATGGAGGTTCAGGGTGAGATGGGGATTTGATTGGCAAGGTCAAGTGGATTCGGCGATTGGGCAGAACCCCACCCCCCGCCCAAATTTTTCTTGCAATTAATACTGGAATGGGGTAGAGGGGGAGATGTCCTTTGCACAACCGGGACAAGAATTTCCGTCGCCAGGCGAGGCAGTAAATAGATGAGAGGCACTCTTGTGGTTGTTTTTATGCTTTTTTTTTAAAAAAAATTTTTTACGGTGCCCGTGAGGCAGGTGAACAGTTGTTAAATATGATAAGGAAGGAAGGAGGGAGGGAGGGAGGAGAAGAGGTGGTGGTGGAGGAGGAGGAGAAGGAGGAGAAGGAGGGAAAGGAGGAAAGGAAGAAAGGAGGAGAAGGAGGAGGAGAGGAGGAGAAGAGAGAAAGGAGGAAAGGAAGAAAGGAGGAGTAGGAGGACGAAAGGTGGAGGAGGAGGGAGGAGAGGAGGAGGAGAGGGAAAGGAGGAAAGGAATAAAGGAGGAGGAGGAGGACGAAAGGTGGAGGAGGAGAGGAGGAGGAGGAAGGAGAAGGAGGAGAGGAGGAGGAAAGGAATAAAGGAGGAGGAGGCGAGGTGGAGAAGAGGAGGAAGAGGAAGGAGAAGGAGGAGAGGAGGAGGAAGAATAAGAATCAGGAGGAAAAACTGCATTTCTGGAAAACAAAATTGGCTTCTGACTTTTTGGGCTTTGAAAAACAATTCTGGGTATCCGTCACAACCACATTTTATCTCTAGAAAATATGATCTGGTTCCCTATTAATGAAAGTCAATATTTGCATCCCAGAGGATCAATTCCTCTTTTTGACAGAGGGAGAGAGAGTTGCGTTACTAAGATAGGGAGTCTGGCTGAAAACACGAAACAATAAAGCTTTAGACACAGTTTACAACCAGACACAATTTACAACCAGTCCGAAGTATCAGGCACACCTTTAAATGGGTGTGTACCAGGTCAAAAATTAATCTCTCGCAATCTCAACTTTCTCTCTCTCTCCTGGCTAGATAGATTACCAAGATCTGAAAGTTTCAAATTGTTTGTTGTTTATTGTTCCCCTGGTTAAAAAATCTTGTTCTTGCAGATACTAAAATGATTGTCCTTTTGGGGAAGCATCATAGCATTCAAACCTGGGCTTGAAAGCTTGTTATGGATTTTATTGTGTAGCCCAGATTACGCAGTCGAAAGATGAGCTTTGGAGGTTCAAATAAGTATGAATGTATAACTGCTGTGTAAGATGTCAGAAGCCAATTCTTCGCATCTATTTTCTTTCTTTCCTTTTTTTTTTTCCTTTTGCAAATAATTTTATTGGTAAATAGAAAATAATAGAAAATGGGAAGTGTAAAAAGAAAGAAGGGAATCGTAAAAGGTGGTAAAAAGAAAAATCCTGAAATAAACATATAGAAAAAAAGAATTCACACTTTCCAGTACAGATACAAAATATAGCACTCTTCTATTCTAAATTAAGTAAATATATTAAAAAACCATGCAAAGAGAGAGAGAGACCAAGAGAGAGAGAGAGAAAGAGTTGAAGAGAGAGAAAGAGATAAAGAGAGAGAGAGAGAAGAAAGTTAGCTAGAGAGAGAGAGATAAAAAGAGAGAGATATGGAGAGAAAGAAAGAGAGATAAAGAGACAAAAATAGAGAACGAGAAAAGGCAATAGAGATAAAGATAAAGCGAGTGAGAGATAGAGAGAGATAAAGATAAAAAGAGAGATAAAGAGAGATACAGAGAGATAAAGATAAGTAAAGAGAGAGATAAAGACAGAGAGAGAAAGAAACGGAAATAATTTCTTGACCTTTGTGTAAAGTAATGCAACACTTTTCTCATATTCACACCATCTGTTATTCCAATATTCCCTTCTTGTAAAATTGTTATCATTTTTTTTCTTCTTCTTTCTGCAACTCAGATGTCAACCCTCTCCCCAGTTTATTTGCAGATTCAACATTTCTTCGTTTGACATAATTCATCTTCATTTTCCAGGAATTATGACCTAAGCCACTATATAGCTGGCGTGTCTGGCCCTCAGTTTAATCCGCTTTTTAATCGGTTTATGTTTATAAGCATTTATAAGAGTGAATTGCTTGATGTTTCCAAAATGAAAAAAAACCCGAGTTGTGTTGAATAATCAGTGCGATGACACACACATACACATCACAATTCAGGAACTGCTTTTAAGAGCGAAATAAAATGGTGATGACATTCTTTGGATCAGATATTGAATTTTAACCGTTGACAAGGAAGGTTCCGCCTGAATGTAAAGTAAGTCTTTTCTCCACAGCTTCACATTTTGCAAGTCCAGGAGGAGGAGGAGGAAGGAAAGAGGAAGGGAGGAGAAAGGAAAGGAGAAGGAAAGAAGGGAGAAAGAGAAGGAGAAGGAGGAAAGAGAGAGGAAGAAGGAGAAGGAAAGACAAAATGGAGAAGGAGAGGGAGAGGGAGAAGGGTGAAGGAAAGAAGAGAGAAGGAGGGGAAGGAAGAGGAGAAAGAAAAGGAAGGAAAGAAGAGGAGAGGAGAAGGAGAAGGAGAAGGAAAGAAGGAGGAGAAGGACTGTGAGGTCCTTGGGACTCTCCGAGTTTGGGGGTTTTCTTGCTGACATTTCCTAACCCAACTAGGGAACATCATCAGTGCTAGAAGGGAGTAGGGTTTGCTCTTTGCAAGCAAAGCTACTTGTATATAAACAGAGCACACACACCCCACTCTTTCGGCACTGATTATGTTGCCTAGTTGAGTCATGAAACGTCTGCATGAAAACCCCAAGCTCAGACAGCAGCAAGGACCCCACATTCCTCCTCCTCCTCCTCCTCCCACTGATGATGTTACCTAGTTGGGCCATGAAACGTCTGCAAGAAAACAACCAAGCTCGGAGACCACCCCCCCAAACCCCATTCTCAAGACCAGTTTTGGGACCCCTTTTTGCTCCTTCACACCTGGAGGTGGCGGGAGGTTCACCTAGCAAGCCAACCTCAAGCAACGGAGGCATTCTTTCCATTTCTCATTTTTAATTGAATATTCATGTCCGTCCGTCCATCGCCCCCCCCGGTTGCCATCAATTCAACAGGTGTGGCTCCCAGCCAGCAAGGTGTGTCCTTGACTGATGTCCTTTCCCTGGAATTGGGGGGAGGGGGGGGCAGCTTTGTACCATCTGCCACGGCCTCCTTCCCAGCCGTTGCCCCACACCTCAACTCTTCTGAAGGCCGGCCATAAAATGATGTCAACATTTCACAATGCCGCGCCTCAATCCTTGGGTTGTTTGTGGTGCGGCTTCTTGCTGTTTTACAGCCACCGTCCTAACCGGTGCCATGAGATCCTGGGTTATTCAGTAACCAAGGTTTCCCTTTAAAAAAAAGGCCGATTTTTCTGACCGTCAAGTCAAACGTCTCCCTGTCTAAGCAAGAGCCAGGACTGCGGATCAGCCATGAAGTCCTCTCTGATGCTGATGCTTGGTTTGTGTCTCCTGACGGCTCTCACCGAAGGCATCACCGTCCGGGTAATATTTACGCTCTTTGGTTGAAAGATGGGTGTCTGGTTTAGGATGCTGGGATCTGTTAATGGCTAAGTTAGATGGCCAAGCGATGGACCTCAGTTCTCCAGTCTCTCTCTCTCTCTCTCTCTCTCTCTTTCTCATCTATCTATCTATCTATCTATCTATCTATCTATCTATC